TCGGTACGGCACGCGTCTACAGTTCTCATCCGCGTATCATCCCCAAACAGACGGCCAGACGGAAAGGACAAATCAAACGATGGAGCAGCTCATTCGGACAAACTGCCCCGACCGTAAAAAATGGGAGGACGTGCTGCCCATGTTGGAATTTTCCTACAACAACGCGCCCTCGGCTACGACTAATCACTCCCCGTTTTATCTTAATTACGGGATGGACCCTACAGTACCAATCTCCACCAATGTTGAGAGTCAAGTACCACGATCGCAGCAGTTCGTCGAAGAATTACAGACTGCCCAAGACAAAGCTGTCGAACTTAGTCGCAAGGCGAACGCAACTGCCCGACGGTATACGGATTTACATCGACGGAATATGACAATGGCAACAGGGCAACTAGTCCTTTTGGACACCAAGAATTTACGACTGCCACTACCGACAAAATTACGACCACGTTTCTGTGGCCCATTCAAGATCATGAAGATGGTGACACCGGTGACCGCCCAGTTGCGCCTACCTGATGACTGGCGTATTCATAACAAGTTCCACGTGAGTCTGTTGCGACCCTTCGTTCCGGACACGTCGGACATCGCCCGACAGTGCTTGGTCCCAGAAGTACGGCCACCAGCTGAGACGACCATCGAGCCTTCGAAGATCTTGAGTCATCGGATTCATCTCGACGGTCAAGGAGGACACGTTGACTTTCTGATACGATGGACCAATCGTACCAGTGAGGACGACATGTGGGTGCCCTCGGACCAGATCCAGTCACCTTCGATACTTGCGAATTATTTGGACCGCAAGCACGTGGCTGATATAGATCACCTTCGCTAAGGGGGGGGGTGGTGTAAGGAATTTGCCATTCCTTACCGAGCGGTACTGCTATCGCGTACGCTCGAACACACCCGAAGCCTCGGGACTGTTCCAGACTTCCTGACAGAACCGCCTCAGTTTCTCCAGACCTGCTAGTTCGACCTTCAGGAGTTCTCCAGGCCTCGCTGCGTCACTTCGAGACCCTTCGATCTCCTTCCCGAACCTTACCATGGCCTGGTTAGACTAGCTCTGGTGTTCCTATATCTTGGCTTGCCATTCCTTGTATCGTCATTCATTGAGTGAACACTTCGTTATACATTTCCGCGCTACTCCCATGTTACTCTAATCTAGGCTTGAGCAACGGGTAGGGTCGAGTCGGGTTACCCGACCCGAACCCGACTTTTTGACGAGTCGGGTCAACATTTGCGGAGGGTCAACCCGACCCTCGGATACCGGACCCGACCCGACCGACAAAACCCGATCCGTCGGGTCGGCTTACTACCCGTCCCTGCCCCTATGCCAACCCGACCCGACCCGACCCGAACCCAACATCGGGTAGGGCAAAGTCGGGTCGGGTTAGGCTCATGCTCAAGCCTACTCTAATCCCCTCCTTGATTCACTCATCCCTCCCAGTTTCTCTCAACTCTACCTGCCTCCGCTTTCCCCCGGTTTCCCTCCATGTTTCGGTCGCCTTTCCAAATCGTCACTCATGTCACCCCCGTTTCTCTTTTATCCCCCATGCTTCTCTCCTAGTCGTCCGCATTGTTCTCCCCCCTGTCTCTCACATCGGTTCCCCCCGTATTCGGCACCTTATTAGTTGTTTTTCGTCTTCATCATTCTAAGTCGTGATATTCCCGTTATATGCTCTAGAGTTGATAAAGCTGTTTGTGTAAGCGCCGAACGACGTTATTCCTACGTCGTCCATGTCTCTCGTCGTTGGTTTGATCCTGCCTGCGTAATAGCGTCGTACGTGAAGATCGTGATGAATGGTGTGGGCTGTTATGTGTTACAAATTGCAATATTACCTATGTTGTGTTTCATCAGACTCGTCGGTCTATGATATGCTCAGTTGAGAGCGAGTATTTTTGTTCTGCGTCGTTCCGCCGCTTCCGTCTTAGTGTGTGTTGATGCGTGTGCTGTGGGAAGGTAGAGACATGTATGTGCAGCATGTTGTGACTGTCGAGCGAGGGACTCGTGTTTCAGACAGTGTGACCAGTAGTCGTAAGTGGATAATGGTAGGCTGTTCTGCTGGTTATTGGGTTGCATGTATTGGACACATAGGCCATTATGGTAACCAGTGCCTCTATCTGGAAAATTTCCTTTCATGTTGGTGTTTGTGTGCTGAATAAGGTCGCCTTCAGAATTTTGAACGACAACCGAAGTTTGGACAAGAGAGGAACTTTTCGTTTCTCTTGGGATGACAGTATAAATGACGGGTATACTCGTGCTATTAAATATCGAATAATCCTACATTCCCCAATTCGAAGCTGTTTATAGGGACTCAAATGCTCCACCAATTTCTTGCTTAAACACACTGTTACAGTGCACGTTTGGATGGAGATCTGGGCCTCGGCAAAGGGTAAATTGAAAAAAAAAAACATAGGATCTGCTGTTTTCATGGTAAATATGTGTACAGATCGAGAAACCAACTTTCTTGTCCAAACTTTGGTTGTCGTCCAAACCTCTGCAGGCGATCTACGGCTTCGTCATATTCAGGCAGATTCGTCAATGCCGTGGCAAAAACAGCGAGGCCTCGTTTTCCAGGCTCGTAATATAGTAACTCCATTTCTTTCGCCTAAGATATTTTGTTTTTTTGCTGCGCATAGCATTTGTCGTGTCAAAGGCTGGACACAAGACCGATGCAAGCATGCGCTCTGTGGTCGAAAGGTGAGCCTCGCGACATCAACATTCCCCTTAACATTTTTCTGAGCATGTACAAAAGACGTAAAAAGTGCGTGTTAGGGCAAAATGGACGCGATGGACATGCCCTAATACTCACCTAACGAACGTCAAGTTGAGATGTTCGGCGAATGTCGCTCAACACGTATGGAATCCCCCCGGCGATACAGGCGAAGCTCGTCAGAGTCGCACAAGATTTTAGGGTGCCGGGGATTCAATCGCTCAAGTATTTCGCATTCCCTCGCCACGGGCAAATGAGGCCTTCGCACGAGCACACGGCGAAATGGGTGGGTATTTGTGGGGGGGGGCTTGTGTGGCGATATTTGTTGCCAGTGTGCGATTCTTGTGAAGCGATCAGGCGACGGCGGTGCACAGTTCCGTGGCGACGAAACCTCGTCGGCAATGACTTGTCCCTTGCTATATGTTGGTCGCAGACGCAATCATGAGTGACTCAAACAGATCTCCCATTGCCCGTATATCGGGAGTTTTGGGAAACGATTCTGATTGGGCGCTTGGTTGAGCTGCGATAAGGCTAGGCATCGTTTGTACAGTATGAGTTCAAGGTTGTTACCCTGCAATCATTTCGGACACGTGCCGATTTCCCCTCACTGTCAAATTTGCTCCACTACCAGCTAAGCGAGTTCCAGTTTTGCGCGCGTGATTTTTCAACAAGATTCAAACGGAGAAAAGTGTACAACGATGGGAACTGCTCGCGGTTTGGAAGTTGCTTGAAGGATGTTTGGGTGAGAGGACCCGAGGCTGACGTGGATTTGCCTACAGTCGTCAACAGAAACGAAGGTGCTGGAAGGAATCAACGGGATGAGACAGTGGCCCAGCCAAGCGTCCCTTTGGAGAAAATGGACAATGCTGCCAAAAGCACCATGTTTTGGATGTTTGAACCAAGGCCTATGTTTGACGGGTATTCACCCGAGCTGAAAAGCGTTAACGGTTTTTTTGCGACCGATACTCCATTTTTGAACAGGGTAGTCAGCGGGTCGATTCTGGCTCGAAAACGGGCCTTCGAGGATCGGAATCAAGGCGTTGGTTTGAATCTCCTAAAATCGGGTTCCGACAACGGAATCAAGACTTTGCTTGGAGTGCAGTGCAGCATCTGTTCGACTGATTTCGTCGTCAACGTTCGGCCAGCTGGTCGAAGCAACCATTAATGCCAGCTGTTCCTGCCGATACACCGAGCCCGTGGTAATTTCACGCCCTGAAACTGGGCGGCAGAAGAATTTTTGTTTCCACCCTGACCATTTCTGAGTGCGTAGACAGTACCCCCTTGTTCCTACGGCCTAAGCTTGGCAGACTCTACGCGGGCAAAAACTTTGAGCACTGCCTAAGCTAATGTCGAGTTTCCTGACTCGAGAAACACTAAATCGAGCAGTAAACGTTTCGTATAGAAACCCAAGTTCGAATTGTTTTTCAATGGTATCCAGATCTGGTCTTCAGGAGCTGCTTTCGGGGGAAGAATACCCTCTCGGCGACGCCCCATATGAAAATACTGAGTGTAAAATTACCGCAGTCGAGGTGTAGTATCTTTTTTTTGGCGTCATTACCACACTGTCGATACTGTCTGTATTATCGCATTTGGGTAGTTTTCGTCCCTAATTATGCCCGCAAGAGTAGAATCGGTAAACACGTTTAACGAGAGGGTATATTCTGCTTTCTCACACTCAGCACGCTGTCGGTCCTGGGGGACGTGCCTCTGTCCAGCTGGGCTAGACTCCGCGAGCTCGTCAAAGCTTCAAGTATACAACTGGCATAGACTGTACTTGTCGGCCTGGGGTATAGTGAAATTTCCGGCACGCCAGTTACAAAATCAATGCTGTCATTTTCCGCCAAAGAAATGCTAGGACTCTCCTGTAACTGTGGTGCCACCAAATGACCCGAGGATGCGCTGGAGGAGGGTGTCAGAGCGAATGACCAAATTTCAAGTTTCAACCATCCTCCTGCCCTACAGGCCGAATGAATGAACCACACAGCATCTGAACCACACAGCAGCATTGGGTGACGAAGTCCCGCCTTCAAGAAAGCATAACAAATCAGCTAGTATTGGAATTAGATGTTTGATTTTTTATTTTATTTTTTGGTACAGAATGCACCATAGCTCTTCCTCCTCCAAAGCCATTCTAGAAGGTTCCTTCTTTCTTGGTTTTGCGGGGGGAACACGGTTTGTTCAGACCGCGCTCGCTGCGAGCGTTGTTGCGAACCATATGAACGAGCTGATGTGACATGGGCTTCGTGACTTGAGCTATCAGCCAAATGCTTTCCACGGTTTTCTGGCCAGCTCGTAAGTTTGACACGACAGCGTGCGTCGATGATACTAGTTCGAGGTGGTGACACTAAAACTCGATGTTCCGTTTGAAGATCTTGCTTGGCCCGCCAGGATTAGGGTCCCATTTTCTAACCTCACATGTTGAGGCTCTTTCCAGCCACTTCTGGAAAGCTTGCCATTTTGAACATGGAACACTCCAGTGGTGGGTGAGTGAATGATGCTTCACACTTCTGATAAGCATTCTGACAGTCAGGGCTGTTTTCAAAACCAAACATATTCTGAGCTGCATTTCTGTGATTGCCGCTCAGAAGTGATTTCCGAGTAGCAGCGGTTGACTCAAACCTAACTTAAGGGTTCCGTAACGTTGCCACACTGTGGCACTGGCCTGGGGTCTACAACTAATGGCGGATCGACGCATGGCGGAAACGCTGAACAACGCGGATTCTCTGAGCCGAAAACACACTCTCTCTGACTCAGAGGGGGCATTCGACGACGCTGCGGCCTGCTCTGTACAGACGACGATGCAAGAAGACCCGAGCCACTTCCGCTGGCAGAAAGTCTCGCACAAGTGGCTGTGTCAACGGACTGTCAAAAGGTGCACCCCCTCCCTCCCATTTCACCGTGTTTCTGCCAGGAATGACTTGCGCGCATGCAAAAATCAAGCTTTATTCCGATGGGCCTTCGTTTTTTTACCGATTTTTTTTTTTTTTTTTTTTTTTTCCCCTTCCCTTTCTCATATTGGCAAGCCGTTCCACATGCTCGTTCAGTGCAAGATCGTTGGCTCCCCATCGGCTCCATCATATCTGATCATCCGATGATCTGTCTTCTCCCCCTTCCAGGATCTACTTCGCGTGTGTCTGCAAGGTCATCACCGGCTGCACGGCTCGGAAAGTGGAGGACCGCCTCCCCGGCCCGCCTCGGGGGAAGCACAATGCTGCACCCATTGGCACTGGCACAAGTAGTAGTACCAGAGAGAATGCCGGCCGAACGGGTGGCTTCAGCAGTGCCGCCGCTGCCTCCGGTGCCGCCGCCACTGCTGCTCCTGCTTCTGCTGCTGCAGCGGATTCTTTGACTGGAGACTCCACCCTGCCTGAGCGCGTGGAGATGCGCAAGGTGGTGCGGATGACAACCTCGGGGTTCCACAACCACCCTTCCACCATGTGCCACAAGCGCCGCCGCCGGGGCGACAACATGATGGGGAACGTCAATGGCGATGTCACTGACGTCATCATGACGGGGCCGCCTTCTAAGGCGGCTCCCATGATTGCGCCCTACTGCTCCTCCGCTCACCATGGACCGCTCCCCGAGCCACGGGCCACAATATCCCATGCCGCCCGTAATCCACCCAGGGCTGACACTGCCCTTGCTGCCGCTGCGGCTGTGTTGGATCCACCGAGACATGCCGGCATAGGCCCGACCCGAAATCCTCTGGGCCAGAGGGCCTCTGGGAGCACGTCTGAGCGGATTCCCATGTGTCATGCTCCGCAGGCAGAGTGGACGTCCAGTGACCGGGCTTTGAGGTGGCAGAGGACAGCAGCTGAGCCAGCAAATGATACCGAGCCAGCAGCCGAGCCAGCAGCCGAGCCAGCAGCCGAGTTAGCAGCCGAGGCAGCAACTGAGGCGGTGGAGAGCCCCAGCGTGAGCTGCTGGCATGACGGGCCGGCGGATGGCGATGCCTCTGCTCAAGGGCTGACAGCAGCGAACGGCGTTACTGAAGTGGCACAGCAGAGCAGCCTCGGGTCGCCACAGTGCTGCATCAGCGGCCGTAAAGATGGGCTGCCTGCTGGTGACTGGTCTCAACTTCCCAACGATGCATTCGCTCCAGGTTTGACTGCGACAAACTGCACACCTCAACGAGTGCACCAGAGCAGCCTCGGGCCGCTGCAGAGCTTTCCGGACCTGGCTCCGAGTCTAGCAGGCCTGGCAGGCCCAGTAAGCTCAGCAGCCCCAACCGGCCTAGCAGGCCTGGCAATGGCACATCTGCAGGAGGGGGAGACTCCAGCAAATGAACCAGCTGGGCTTCCCAAGGGTCTTCCCCAGGAGGGGGAGACTCCAGCAAATGACCCAGCTGGGCTTCCCAAGGGGCTTCCCCAGGAGGGAGAGACTCCAGCAAATGACCCAGCTGGGCTTCCCAAGGGGCTTCCCCAGGAGGGAGAGACTCCAGCAAATGACCCAGCTGGGCTTCCCAAGGGGCTTCCCCAGGAGGGAGAGACTCCAGCAAATGACCCAGCTGGGCTTCCCAAGGGGCTTCCCCAGGAGGGGGAGACTCCAGCAAAAAACACTGCTGGGATTCCCCAGGAGTGGAAATCAGCAGCAAAGGACACAGGTGGGGCAAGCAGCAACCACCACGACCTTGCATTTCTGCTGGGGGCGCTTCTGACGCCAGCGGAACGGGAGGTTGTGGTGGCGAGGCTATTCCATCTGCAAGGCGCGCTGGAGAACAGAGGACAGCGGATTGGCATGGATGGCAGCAGTGGTTGCGGCACTGGCTTCTGCAGCAGCAGTGCCTGCATGCACACGTTCCAGGAGGCTTGCTGCGGATCGAATCCAACATTTTCCCGCATGCACACGTTTCAGGGCCTTGGCCTCTGCAGCAGCGGCACCAGCTTTGCTAAACTTCCAGGTGAGGCGGCTCCTGCTCCTGCTGCCAGCATGGATTCAGGCATTGCTGGAGGCACGGAGGTCTCCTTTAGTGCTGGGACAGACTTTGGGGCTTCGTCTGTCGCTCTAGCTTCTGCTCCTGCTGCCAGCATGGATTCAGGCGTTGCTGGTGGCACCGCTGCTGCCGTGGCCAACCCTCCAGCGTTTGCGGTGACATGGAGCAGTGCAGCGGAGATGCTGTGTGCGCAGGGTGCAGGCATGGAGCTCACCTCTGCTGTTGGGAGTGCGACTGAGGTCGGCGCTCCTGCCAACACTGCTCCTGTGCATCCTGCCGACCCTGCTCCTGCTTTTCCTGCTCATCCTGCTTATCCCATTGCTGCTACGGACACCCCCGCTGCTGCTTCTGCTTATTCTGTTGCTGCTACAGCCGCTCCTGCTGCTGCTTCTGCTTATTCTGTTGCTGCTACAGCCGCTCCTACTGCTGCTTCTGCTTATCCTGTTACTGCTACTGCCACTCCTGCTGCTGCTTCTGCTTCTCCTGTTGCTGCTACAGCTGCTCCAGATCAAGGTCCGCTGCCCCTAACTGACCAGCATACTGAGACTGATAACTGCAGCAATCACTGTGGCGATCACTGCACTCCTCTCCTTCACTCCGTCGCTGCCAAACTGGACATGGTGACGTTTGAGAAGGCTGTTGCAGTGACACATGACACACTGACATGTGACACAGTGACTTATGACACACTGACGTGTGACACAGTGACTGACAAAGGGACACATGACACACTGACATACGGCACAGTGACACATGAGGAATTCCGAGAGGTGCAGCAGCTTGGACACGAAGTCTGGCTGGAGATGGAGCAGAAGAAACATGAGGAATGTCATTAGGGTATGATCTGTGACGAGTTTCAAGTGCGGAAGGCATACGGAGAAAGCATGGAGTCAACGACGGCATACCATGTTATAGACGACTGGCCTGTGTTGGAACAGCGGCTGGATGCTTTTTGGTTAGAGAACGAGAGTCATGCGTATGTTTGAAACTTGCATACAGTACAGCTGGTGATAATTTATTTGATGGAAATAGCACTGTAAACGCCCGGATAGAAAACAGGGACGACTTGTAAGCATATACGCTTGTAATTAGAGTGTCTCCTTTTATAACGATAGACACAAATTTTGGAAGAGGATATGATAAGGCACACATGTCTTGTATTGAAGAAGGTTTTACACAGTCATTTGCCTGGTTTTTATGGGGGATGCGTGCTGAAAACACCATTGCTGGCGTGAACGGCTCGGATGAAACGGGTGAATGAACGGTTGAGATGTGTGCACGACACTCAGAATTGCGTGATCCTGCTATTGGCTGAGACTCTTCTCCCATACTGCACTGTCCCGTTTCATTTTGGCGCAGTACACCACGTAATGAATGAAGAATGAAGTTACGGAATTCCCATTCATAAGACAAGACACCAATTTTTCTCCATTGAAATGGCACAAATGCCTTTTTTTCGTAACACAGTAGTGTATTCTACCCAGGATTACGTGGCATTTAACGAAATTGTTGTAATTTACACACAGAATGTAGTATCAGAATAGGAATTGAATGATTGTCAAGTGAGAGTACACACAAATATATCTAAGTGTTGTACCCTCTAAGAGGTAACCCTATACAGTCTATACAAACATGACAAATACAGATGTTTGACACACCCCCTAGACTGCATAGGGGAATACCCTAAACAAGCAGCTCAGGGCGGCACTACTAGTCCAACCTCTGAGACAAGGGTCTGAGAGACCAGTCAGAAGGAGTACAGACAAGGCAAGAACATGAGCAAGGCGGCACTACTAGTCCAGCCACTGGGAGAGGACACAAGTCCAGTCTGAGTATACATATAAAGGACAGTACAAGTCAAGGTCCTAGCAAGTGAGAAGCGACAGGAACTAGACCAAGCTGTACACAATGCCGCTGATGATCTTTAGGCGCAAGCGCCTTCGTAAAGATATCAGCTGTGTTGGCACCTGAGGCCAAGTGTACTACGCGAGCCTGACGTCGCTGCTGCAGCTCACGCAGGAGGAAGTACCGCAGCTGAATGTGCTTCGCTCTGCCCTCGAGTCGAGGCTCCTGACAAAGGAGGATCATGGCCCTGTTGTCAGCGAACAGGACCGGGGCAGAGCTAGGCCGCTCACCTAAGTCAGTGAGCAAGAAGGTCAGCCAGCGGAGCTCCTGTGCCGCCATGGCACCCGCGTAGATCTCAGCCTCACAGCTGGACTGCGCAACAGACGAGGAGCGAGTAGCTCTCCACGAGACGGCACCTGAGCCAAGGCTGAAGCAGTAGCCCTGGGTAGACCTGAGTGTCTCAGCGTCGTCTGCCCACGAAGCGTCTGTGTGTCCAGTAAGGACCACTGGCCTGCGTCCTCCAAGCACTAACCCCATGCCCGATGTACTAGCAAGATAATGCAGAACCCTCTTAGCGGCAGACCAGTGCTGCGGTCGGTGTCTGCCTGTGGCCACAAAGCGCGCCAGGATGCTGAGAGGGTATGCGAGATCTGGGCGAGTGCAAGTCATCAGGTACATGAGGCAACCCACCAGCTCTGCGTAGGGGCCGCTGGGCTCTACCAACTCCTCAGGTACTGGAGCGGAGAGTCTGTGGTCTACAGGCAGAGGGGTGGGCTGTGCAGAGGAGAACTGAAGACTGAACCTCTGAAGGACCTGGCGCACCAAGTGTGACTGAGTCAGGGTGATGGTGCGCGCAGCTCTGTCCCTGGAGATCTGCAAGCCAAGGTAACGGCGCAGTTCTCCAAGGTCAGTGCAGGTGTGTCTCTTCAGCAGCTCTGCCTTCACGGAGGCTAGTGCGTCCCTGTCTGCCGTGGCAAAGACCAGGTCGTCGACGTAAACAAGGATGTAGAACGGAGTCTGGCCAGCACGAACGAAGAGTGAAGGGTCTGCGGAAGACGGAAAGAACTGCAGGTCAGCAAGGGTAGCACGGAGAGTGTCGTGCCACTCACGGGGAGCCTGGCGCAGGCCGTAGACGGGGCGCCGCAGGAGCCACTGGGTCCCAGGAGGGAAGGTGCCAGTAAAGCCCGGAGGGCGACGCAGGTAGACCTGCTCGTGTAGGCTGCCCTGAAGGAAGGCAGTGGAGAAGTCGAGGGAGTGAAGCTCGTAGTCACGCTGAGCAGCTAGGTGTAACAGAACCCGAAGAGTAGTCATCTTCGGGGTCGGAGCGAAGGTCTGTAAAAAGTCCACCCCCTCGCGCTGACTGAAGCCTCTAGCCACGTAGCGCGCCTTGAAGACAGGCGGCTCTCCAGGAGGGCGCTTCACCTCGAAGAGCCAGCGGCCATCGACTACGTTCACCCCAGGTGGGGGAACTGCGTCGACGAAGGTGCCGGTGGATCTCCAAGATGCCATCTCCTGCTCCATGGCAGCTATCCACTGTGAGGCCCAGGATCCCGAAGTCGCCTCAGCGTAAGTGCGAGGGGTCGGGATGTCGAAAGCGTCTGGGTCACCCTCAGGGACTAGCAGCATGGAACAGAGATGGGGAGCAGCCTCGGAGAGGAAAGCAAGCTCGAACTGGCGGTCCTCCAGGACGTCACTGCACAAGAGGGCCACCAGAGTTAGAAGACTCCTCAACCGGGTCCACGGACGGAAGGGGGGTGACGTGGGACACACCAGAGGGGGCGGGACGGGGAGGAGGAGGAGGAGGGGCAGGGACTACCGGGGAAGGGGTGACCAGGAACAGGGGGGGGGTAACCGGGGGACCACGGTGGGGAAAGCGGCGGTAGTAGGAGACAGACTCGTCAAAGGTGACGTCACGAGAGTGAAAGAAGCGGTGAGACGGCGGGTGGTAAAAGTGCCAGTCGGACGCGTCAAGGGGAAAACCGAGGAAGACGCAGGGAAGGGTGCGGGCAGTGAGCTTGTCCGTGCCGGAGGCACGGACGTGAGCAAGGCAGCCCCAGACGTGGAACGCAGACGCGTCACCAGGGGACCCAGTCCAAAGACGGGTGGGCGAAACCTGCGGCTGCTGAGGGTGCGGCCACAGGTTAAGCTGGTGAGAAGCGTAGCGCACAGCGAACGGCCACAGAAAATGGGGTGCACCGGCATGGATCATGGAGGTGCGAGCCACCTCCATGACCAAACCGATGCGTCGCTCAGCGACCCCATTCTGCTGTGGGGAGTCCGGTAGGGTGAACGTCTGGGTGATGCCCTCCGCACGACAAAAGCGACCAAGGACACCGGAGGCAAACTCGCCACCACGGTCTGAGTGAAGACGCAAGACAGGGAGACCGCGGTGGACACGCGCAGAGACAAGCCAGGGGATGAGAGCGCCAGGCACGTCGGCCTTGCGCTCCAGGGGAAAGACTGTGGTGTAACGAGTGAAGTCGTCGACAAGCACAAGGAAGTAGCGCTCTCGACGCGGCCCAGGGACGGGGGCGGGGCCCCAGACGTCCAGGTGCAGGGTCTGCACAACGCGGCGGTAGGGGGAAACGAGGAGGAGTGAGGGGCACGGCGAAGCCGACCCTCGACACAAGGCGTGCAAGGTGGGGCTGGAGAGGAGGGAAACGCGGGGAGCGAACCTGGGAGACCAAGGACGAGACCGTGCTGAGACATGTGACGCAGACGCTGGAGCGCAGGGTGACCTAGGCGGTGGTGCCACAGGAGGGTCGGGTGAGTGAGGGAGCGACAGGAGCAGGCAGCAGCAACCTGGGTAGACGCAGCCACCTGAGGGGGCGCTCCAGCCGGGGGGGTCACGGTGTCCAGAGTGAACAGGCCGGACACCGGGTCCCGGGGGAACGTGGACAGGGGGGCACCAGTGGCGGCCTCGGTACAGACAGCATACCGCTCGTGGCCAGGGAACGTAGTGATGACGCCAAGGTCCTGGAGGCAGCCGACACGAACTAGGTTCCTGGAGAACGAGGGGATATGCAGACCTGTAAGGGAACCCGAAGGAACCGCCGGACAGGGAAGGGTGGTGGAACTGCGGGCGACTACCGGACCGCCGGAGGGGTCAGCAAGAGAAACGGCAGCAGGAACAGGAAGCGGCGTCAGGGTGGTGGAGTCGCGGAAGAAACACCGAGAGGCGCCAGAGTCCAAGGTGAAGGAAAGCGAAGCCGAGGGGTCTGGCGACGGAACGACGGCGGAAGAACCAAGACTACACAAAGCAGGGGATCCTACGCCTGACGCAGCAGGGGAGGCTAAGCTAGGCACAAATGCACTAGGCAACAGTGAGTAATAAGTGGGAAGCACTCTAGAGTCATCAGCATACATCACATGCAGAGCAGCAACAATGGCATCCATGTCCATATCAAAAATCTGAATCTGACGACTAAGCAAACTGTGCCAGTCCGGGAGGTCTGGCGACGGGCCGAAGCGCTGACGAAAGAGGTCATCCAGGCGACGAAAACAGCGGGGAGTGGAGTGACCGAGCTTACCGCAAACGAAGCCGCGGCGAGGACCGGTCTGGATCTGGTACTGACAACGCCCGCCGCCAGAGCCACCACGCGGCACACCACCACGCGCCCGGCCACCGCCAGCGCCGGGCCACCCGGGCGGGAGGACACTCGTCTGCCGCGGTTGCGACGGCTGCTGCGGCTGCTGCGAAGGCTGCGACTGCGGCGGCTGCTGCGGCTGCTGCACCTGCAGGGGCGGCGACTCAGCTGAACTGGGCAGGGTCCCCTCGTCCACTCCAGCACCAGGCGACCCGACCCCACCACTACGCCCGCCCGCACCCCCGCCGCCTCCTCCGCCGCGCCCAGCCTTGGGGCGGCGGCCCTTCCCCGAACGGACCTGCGCTGCAGCAGCAGTCTCAGCCACTGCGGCAGAGCCGTCGGAGAAGGTGCACTGAGCGGGGGCACAACCCTGAAAGATAGGGACCGGCACGACACCGCTCGCCTGGGCAATGGAGCGGTGACGGGTCTCTATCACAGTCAGGGTGTCTACAAAGTCAGTGAGGGTGAGGTCTGCGGGGTGAACGCTAAGAAAGCGGTCGCGGGCGACAGCAAGGCGGTCAGGGAGGCGGGTGGCAAGCAGGTAGAGGGTAGAGGTAATGGGCGGCTGGTGGGCTCTAAGCTGGGCGTCAGTGCAGGCAGCGCGCT